TAAGCCAGTGGTTACAGGCTGTAAGCTAGGAAAGCTAAGTTCTTTATAACTTTTTCTCCTAATTCTTGTAATATAACAAGTCAGTGAACCCCCATTTCTGTTTTGCTTCATTTTGGAAAATCTCATCTCTGAAGCATATGATTCAAGTGCAGGCCTTCTTTCAACATTTTACACAGTGTTCGCCGCAGCTCATTGTCCCAGGCCAGGACGCTGGATGGAAAGGAGGAGGGAGACACAGGGCCATCCCCTTCCCCCTCCTGTGGCCATCTCTCCCTACCTGGTGTGCATACAATAAAAGAGGGTATGGAACTTGCCAGTTTTATTTTTTCTATTTTAACAGAGCAAATGAAAATTTGTCCTCTCACTCTTTTTATCTCTTTTCCTCCCTTTTATAAAGGCACCTTCTCTTTTTTCTTTTTATTTGCCTCTGTTCTTTTCGTAGAGCATTTCTGCCTTCCAAATACAAAATGCTGGATTTACTTTACTGCGTGGGGAAAGGGAGTAGTGTGGCCGACCGCACTCAGAGAGCACGTGTGAGCTCTTTCCTTGGTGAGAGACAGTCCCCTGGATCCAGCCCCAGCTCTTGCTACTTTTAACAGATGCCCATGGATTTTCCAGCTGCTGGTTGGGGAAGGAGGACTGAGTGGTGCCATGAAGTGGAGAGAAGGTATTGGCTCCTCCTCAAGATCTCAGCTCCAGTAACACCACATTGCAGCCAACTGAGCAAACTAGGTGCACTTATTAAAAGGAGGACTGTGCCTTTGGGGAGAGTTATGCCAAAACTTCTGCTTCAGCCCCCAGCAACAGCTTCTTTGGGTGTCTTTAGTGAAAGGCCATTTGGGAAGTGGACTGTACATGCAGCAAATGGGATTTCGGTTAAATGGTGACATTTGTTTCCAAAAGTGAATCAGACGGGACGCTAAGCTCTTCAGAGCATGTGTTCATTAAAGAGTTGAAGTGGGGTGGGAAGCAGTAAAAAAAAAAAAAAAGGCCAGTGAGTTCTCTTGTGAGATAGTTTTTTGTTCCTATGAATTGAATACACTCTCTGAAAAGTTTCAAAAAGAATCTGGGAAGAATGTATTTACTTTGATCCAGTATGTGGAGTGTTCCCTACTACAAATACCCTTTAATTTAGAAACGTTGAAAAATCTGTTTGAAAGTACATAAAAATATAATATGTAAATAAGCTCTAATTAGTTATTTCAATTAATTATTTCTTGTCTCTGCTTTGCAGCTCTATTTTTCTCCTTATAACATCGCTTGTCAGAGTCCAGCTTCAGCACCTTCCAAAAAATGTGTTTTCTAGCAGTTGTTATTAAGAAAACACATTTTTTTCCCCTGTTGAAAACCTCACAATGATAAAGTAAAATCCCAGATTGTGAATCTTTATGGGGAATTGTTTCAGACATTTTTAGTTTATGACTTGCTAGTATGATATTTAAGAAGGAAATCTTGCAGTTAATTGAAAGAACAGGTGTTTCCTTCTTCAAACAAATGGTATGTGTTGTTTTTTAGAAAATGAATCTACATCAGGTCACTAACTAGCCTCTAATCTTCTTTCCTGACCATCCTATGTTCTTTCAATAACAAATACATTGGACTTAGAGGTTAAAAGTTTTAATTCTTCCTAAGTCAAATAAGATGCTTCTCAGTGGGGACAATGAATGCTCTGGAAAAACCCTGGTAAAATGAACTCAGGTTGTTTCTACATAGCAAATTTTTGGAAATTAACTAAGAACCTGAAATGTTGATTTTGGAAGCCTAGAAAGTAAACTGTGTCACAAATCACGAGCTTTTCCCTGAGGAGTCTGCACACCCTCTGCACTTTACTTGAATAGAATCAGAGTTTTAGAGCTTGGAGGGACCTTTGCAGTCACCTAGAAATCAGGGAGCAATCCTCAGTTTTACCCACCAGAGTCTGGTATTAGTTGGGTGTCTGTGTAGAAATGCAGGTTCCTGGACCCTACCCCAGATCTACAGAATCAAAATCTCTGCAGGGGGTACGAGGGGGTCTACATTTTTCACAAACATCTTCAGAAAATTCTGATTCTCACCGAATTTGGCAAAGCACTGATTTAGGCTAACTCCTTCATTTTGCATTGAAGAAAGCAGGCCTAGAGAGTTTGATGGGTCAAGTTCACAGTGTGCCCTAGGCAAGAACAGGCTCCCTGACTCTAGACTTGTGCTTGTCTATACTCCACTATCCAAAACAGTCATGCAGATGGGTTCAAACCTACTTCTGGATCATTCAGGGTGATTTTAGCACTGAGAGTAGGAGAGCATGGTTCTGAATAAGGTACAAAGGTAAAGACAAAAACTAGAGGTAGGAGTTTACGTGCTACTACTTCCACCTAAATGAAAACCTGAATGAGTCCTGGCCGTGTTCTCTCAGCCTTTCCCTCTCTCGTGAGCTTGGAGGCCTGTGCAGCGTGGTGAGGATGCTCCGCTCCATAGCTAGCTCACATCGTTGAACCCAAGGCCTGTCAGGCTTTGGACCTGTGTGCCCAGTTGATATATACATTTTTGGGCTATATGCTTTCTTAAGGTGTATATTTGTGTATTTTAATATTGCCTATGTTATAATAAAGAAAATTATAATAAAGTCATTAAAAATTATAGACTGATAAACCTAGTGGTACCTACCAAAGCATATATAAATATCCAGGAAATGCTTACTGATATTGTATCTAAAATTCATACAACCAAAAAGCTAAAATAACCTAAATCTATTTTTGCAGTGTTCTATGATGAGAGTTTAAACTACACTAATGATCCTGAATTTCTGCAGGATCATGATCACTTTGTAAATCATTAGGAAAGATTGAATTCTATTCAGTGTCATTCTAGTGTTAAGTCAGTTTGACTGTCTACTAATTTTTGGAAACAGCAATAGCCCAGCGTCTAGGATATGTCAAGTCTCACTAAATTCTGTTCTACAGTCCATATATGAACACGTGTAATGTCTAACTCTTAGAATGGGCAACATATTGTCACAAGGATATTAACAAAAATAAGCTGTTTCGAGAGGCAAGTGACCAGGTTAGGAGAATCAGGTCTAGAAGAGCTTAGGGAAATTACGATCTCTTTATATGCTTGTGGGTGTATATGTGCCAAATCATATTCAGCTGATCATCCCTTCAATATAGACATTTCCTGATGGTCTGCTATGTGTGAAGCTCTGTGTTAAGTGCTGAGGATAAGAAATAGATTCAAGGAGTTTAGAATAACTTCGAGGAGTTTAGTGGTTCTGGCTGGACAAGCACATAAAAAAGGCACAATAGTTTAAGGAGGCATGTGCTAAATGCCGGATGAGCAGTGAGTTCAGTGAGTACAGCGTGCAGCTTCCCAACTTTCGTAGCCTGGTGATTGTGATAGTGTGTCCTCCATCCAAGAGGAGCAACATGTGTGTTTGGTTCTTCCTTATCTCATTCCTCAGCCAATCTGAAAAACAGGAGCTTGTTATGATTTTGTTGCTACTCGGTAGTAAAGAAATAACCATTCTAGGAAGGAACAGTATTAAGCTCTTGAAGCATAATACCAATCCATTTACTTACTGTCTTTTAGTACCTCTTGTATTTAAAAAGAATAGGATCTAATTCTCCTTCTGGAGGATATACTGTGAAACTGCTTGATTATTGATGCCATTTTATTTGTGATGAAAATTAAAGTTCTGTGAGTTTTGTGATACTTTCATTTATGGATTTCATGTGAATCAGTGTCTTCTTATATTGGCAGTTTGTTAAATGAATGTGTTTGGAGCTCTATTAATGGGAATGGGGTACAACACTGCACATTATGTTATTATTATTATTAAGAGTACTTCATTTTGTACCCATATCATAAAATAGGCTTAATGTGAGATTTCTTGATCAATATGGTTCTTGATCCAACCATGAGATGGGCCACATGGAAGAATTTCTAAAATGAAACCTGCAGATCAGAAATGTCAGAATAATGTTGCTGTTTTGTATAATCATGATTACCTGTTCTGGGGCTGCCAGGGTTTTGTCCTTTGGCTTGATTGTGACCGAATTTCTGTACTTATCAATAGAAGATAGTTTCTCCTATCTAAAGAAAAGAATGGCTTCTCCATGACAGAGCCATGATTATTACCAGGTCCGCTGACAGTACTAGGACACTGCTCACAGAGTCATGGACTTCCTTGGACATGAAAAGGGCCTTAGCAATCACTTGCAGGCAACCATTGGTCTTGAGTAATGGGCAGGATTTGGCAAATTAGAGATCAGAGAAGAGGGCATTGTGTAAGGAGAAATAATATGTGCCAATGTATGAAAGGTGGAGTGAGCATGCTGTGTTTATTTGGGGAACAGTGAGGAGAGTTCTCTGATTGGAATAAAGACATTCTAGTCCCATTGGAGAGAGTAGAAGTGGGTATGTGGAAAGGTGAAATGAGGGCCAATCAAAAGACAAATTCCTTTCATTGATTTTGTAGATAAAAGAAGACTACATATTAATTTTTAGCAGCATTTTAGAATCAGATAAGCTTAGAGCCAAATCCAAACTCCACCTCTTATTGGCTGGGTGACCTCAGACAAGATACTTAAGCTGGCTAAAACCTTTGTTTATTCATCTGTAAAAGAGAGCTGATAATATCTTCCTCATAGAGATGTTGTGCAGGTTAAATAAGATCCTGTATGAGAAGCCCTCAGGAAGTGCCTGGTGGAAATAGGGTTTATGAGGAGGAAGTGAGGAGCTGAAAGAAGGCTTGTAGAGAGACTGATCTCTGGCGGCTGTGTGCAGAAGAGACCGCATCAGAAGAGAGCAGAAATAGGGGGCCAGCTAGGTGACAGTTACAGTAACTCCTCAGGAGGCTGGGGGTGGAAGCTATCAGGCTAGGAAGAAAGGGACATGTCTATACATGTATTCTCTGCAATGTGTTTCCATTCACAGACTTTTGTTTATCTTGAGAGTTGTATAAGTTGTTCTGTGGTATTATAAGTACAAAAACAATCATAGACTTTTTCTTTTGCCTTGAACAGGATGCCAGCGATCTATAGGCCTTTCCAGTGGGAAAGCCAAGGTGTGCAATTACAGTGGGTGGTATTACTGCAGCAGCTGCCATGTGGACGACAGTTTTCTCATTCCAGCACGCATAGTCCACAACTGGGATACTTCAAAATATAAGGTAAGTACAAAAACTGGGTTCACTTCATAATAGCAATTTGGGTGTTCCTATGTTGTCATGTGGATTATAAAGATAATGATATAAGAAATTGAAGCAAATTTGATTAGGTAGTCTCACTAAAGCTACAAGATCTTATCCAATGCTTCTTTTTTTTTGAGGAAGATCAGCCCTGAGCTAACATCTATTGCCAATCCTTTTTCTCTCTTTTCTCTAACCTCTGTTGCCAATTCTTTTTCTCTCTTTTCTCTAACATCTATTGCCAATCCTTTTTTTCCCTTTTTCTCCCCAAAGCCCCAGTGGATAGTTGTATGTCATAGCTGCACATCCTTCTAGTTGCTATATGTGGGCCTCAGCATGGCTGGACAAGTGGTGCGTTGGTGCGCGCCCGGGATCCAAACCCAGGCCTTCAGTAGCGGAGCGCGCGCCCTTAACTGCTTAGCCACGGGGCTGGCGCCCTGCAATACTTCTTAAGTATCTCACAGTTTAAAGATGTCTTAACTATGACTTTTATTAATTTTCTCATTTAAAAAGATATACAGCAATTTTTACTTCTGCACCTTGATAATTAGCTGTAGACGCTAAGAGAGAATTCTGATAAAGAAACCTCATTTATTATTTTTTAATAGATATTATCTCCAACATCACAATACTACAAGAGGATAAAAATAGGAAAATAATGCATGCATGAGCGTGCTAGTGATCTTTGAAGGAGAAGACTTCTATAACCCAACATATTTCTTACAGTGGAGTAGCGCTCCTCCTCATGTGAAGGTCAGTCTTCTAGCAAATCCACTCCCTGAACTAGAGCCTGGAGGGAAGCTGTAAGGACTTCTGGGTGGAGGCCCACACCAAGGAGTAGTGCACTAAGCCACCCTCAGGCCTTCATCTGGACTGTTGTTTATTTAAAAAGGGAGGAAGTGAGAAGCACAGGTATATGCTAATAGCTTTGCAAAGTAACTGCTAACAGCCAAGGAGGATATCCAAGAAGTACAAATGGCAGACTTGATAGCTATAAAAACACAAGTCAGTAGAGGAGAAGAGGAAGACTGAGCACAGGGACACTCCAACTTAAGAGGGCAGAGAGGAGAGGGGGAACCAGCAAAGGAGACCAAGAAGGAGTGAGCAGTGAGGTAGAAGGATCCCAGGGTGTCTGACAGCCACATCAGTGTTTCCACATCAGTTGTGACAGATGCTGATAGGTCAGATAAGATGAGCACTGAGAATTGACCATGGGATTTAGTAATGTGGAGGTCGTTGAGTGACCTTATTTTTTTTTTTTTTGTGAGGAGATCAGCCCTGAGCTAACATCCATGCTAATCCTCCTCTTTTTGCTGAGGAAAACCGGCTCTGAGCTAACATCTATTGCCAATCCTCCTCCTTTTTTTCCCCCCAAAGCCCCAGTAGATAGTTGTATGTCATAGTTGCACATCCTTCTAGTTG